TCGGCTGCTTGCAAGGCAAATGCCCTACCCGCTATACTATCGCTACAGCCCTCTATCTTGCCTATTCTTAATTGTGCAGCAATGAAGTAAGCATTTTTATACTTTTGAGTACTTTTTATACTTTAAAAAATTATATTCTGCAGACAGTGAAATTATTGCAACATTGGTAAATTTGTCCTCAACATTTTTGGGAATTTTCGTACTGTTTTCTAATAAAACTGGGCCCATCTATATTCCCACTGGTAATGTAACTTTTTATTTATATTTTTCACTAATACTTATTTTTCCCTTTTTATAAATATGTTACTAAATTTAAAGCAGTCAAAACTAAAAAGAAACATAAATGAAGCATTATAATTGATTGGCCATTTTCCATATATTGTAAATTCTGAACTGCCTGACTACAAACTTATATTCTGTTTATGGTGATGTGGAGTAATTATACACAACAAAATTATAAATGGCAGTGTTATTATGCATGTGACTAAAGCTATAATAATTAAACATTTTAAGAAAATAGAATTGGAGGGTTGAGGGCACTTTGGAGGTGATGAAATGGCAGTAACTTTGTACATCAAAATAATGAATATTAACACTCTTGTAACAATGCTGCCTAAACTGCAATAAAAGTAAAATATTTGAAATTATTATACAAGGTATATGATTTTTCCAAATAATATACAGTAATTAAATAACATAAAAACTGAATAAAGGTACTTAAGTCTTATAGAAGTATGAATGTATGACACTCCTATTGCTAAGTTTACTAAATATCATTCACTTAGAGGATAAGGCACTGGCCTTGCACACTGACAATCCTCTGAGTCATCACCAGAAGTGATACCTTAATGCATGGTCAAGAGTAAGCATTCCTAAAAATACAATTGTTTAAAACTGCATGCATTTAAGTATCTGTATGTTTATATGTATGTACATGTATTTCTATAAGTATTTATATGTGTTTCTGTAAGTATTTATATGTTCATAATATTGTGTTATTGAGGTATAACAAATAGAAATGGAATCTAATACAAACAGCTTAAAGGAAGTGGTGAAAATAAAGCTGGTTAAAGTAAGAAAATGATACCATATGGTAACAATATACTCAGAAAGATATAAATACAGAAATGAAAAATAGTGTTAATATATCATTATACATACATATGCATATATACATATACATGTGTGTCCTCATTTTCACAGTTCTTTAAAAAGCATAACATTATAAAAAATATAAGACTTAATGCCTAAAACAATGTACATGGGTTTTTAAAATATTTTGATGCACTATACATAACAATAATAACATTAAAGGCAAGAACATCGTGTAACAGTTTTCTATATTTCATTATCACTCAGTAATTATGGTTCTAAAATAGATGCTAACAAATTAAAGTATATATGTGGCTGTTGGAGTGATAGTTCAGCGGGGAGGGCATTTGACTTGCACACGGCATATCAGGGATAGATCACCAACATCCCGTATCGTCCCCCAAGTACCACCAGGACTGATTCCTGAGTGTAGAGTCAGGAGAATACCTGAGCATTGCAGGGTATGACCCAGAAATCCAAGATAAAATAAAATAAATAAAAAGTAATTTTAAGAAGTACATATGTAATAAACCCTAGAGCTATCACAAAGTATAATTTAGAAAAAAAACAAGTGAGAAAAATATGAAAGAAATTAAAGTGTCACAATGGACAACATTTGGTTTGTACAGTTGATTTACCACAAAAGAACCAAGAACATAAAATGGAGAAAAGAAAATATTTTCAATATATGGTGTTAGAAATCAGGATAGCCATAGTAAAAGAATGAAAATGGACTGCTCTTGCACCATGGACAAAAGTTCACCCAAAAATGAATAGTATACTTGGGTGTTGGACCGAAGCATTAACATACATCAAAGCAAACTTACTCAAAATAACAAAGCCTTGCTTTTGTAATGTCTATGCGGATTCAATTCTGAAAGCAAGAGAAACAAATGCAAGAATAAATTGTATAAAACAAAAGTACATAAGATTAACATAAAACTGAAAAAGACTGTACAGTGGTAGAAACTATCGGTCTAGACATCCTACTGAATACAGAGAAAAAAAGACATTGCATTAAATCTCACTAAGGGATTATATTTAGACAAATAAACTCACAAAACCCAGTAACAAGAAAACAAACAATCTCATCAAAAAAACAAGATAAGTTTAGACACTTCATGAAAGTATGTACATAATGGCCAGCAGAGAAATGAAAATACTCATTTTCACCTCTTAGTAAGGAAATGCAAATCAAAATGTCATAGAGATACATATGTCAAAAAGCCCAAGAACAAGCTTTTTAATGATACATAAAAGTAGGAAGCATATACATTCTTGGTGAAAAATTTAAAATGATACAGACTATGGAGTCTAAAACTTTCTTAAAATATCTAAAACAAATCTATTTTAGGATTCAGCTATCTCACTCATTGGTGTCTGTTTAAGTAACACAGACAAATTCAAAGAGGTGCATTTATATCTTTGTTTATTGCAGCATCATTTCCAATAGCCAGGGTAAGAAAACAGTCCATTGCTCAGTGACAGACAAATAAATAACAGCACATCGACACAACATGGAAGGCTACTCAGCTACAAAAATAATGTTATGCCTTTTGTGATGATATTGACAGAAGTGGATGAACCTTGCTAAGAGGGCTAAATGAGGACAAATAAAAGATAATTTTACTTCTTTGCTGGAATATGGAAAAGTAAAGTGAGAGGAGGATTCTGTAGGGTTGTGTTTGCCAGAGTCTGGGAAGGGAAAGGAACTCAAAGGAGGTCAAGGGGAGCTACTGGATATAATGCTGTAGAGGTAGCTGTGAGGTGGAGCATATACTTTGAAATGACATGAAATTGTGTTGTTACCCATCAGTCTTCATATATTCATATATATATACATATATATATACAGTAATAGTTTTACCATTGCATACAGTTATTTATTCCCTCCTTTGCAACATCTCCACTCCTTCGCATATGATTTTTAGTGTCTTCTGGGAGAGGAATCTTTGGAATCTCTATCTTTGTGTGTGTACTTTGGCATGGAACTTGATTTGGCAAATAACATGTGGGTGAAATGAAAGTATACTTAACTTCTCGGTCTTTGTATAGGTCTGAAACAAGAATATCTTGCCTGATATAAAGGTAGATTCTTTACTCTGTGTGAGCTGTGTTACAAAAAAGACAAGTGGAAAATTGGAGAGATACTAAATGTGGGCCAGCACATTTGCCTAGTATGTAATAATAGACTAAGTATAATTGCAGTATGTTTGTAGTAAATTGACCTCTAGTTTGATTCCTAGGATAGCATCTGATCTCCTAAGCACCACTCAAAGTGATCCCTGAGCACAAATTTAGGAGTAGGCACCAAATCTTGTGTCTTACACACTACTTCCCATTATCCCCTGGAAAAAAGCAGGGGGCATTGGAGTAGTTCTGGAGCTTTCTTTGTTTATTTTTATTTGATGAAGGAATATTAATTTACCTGTTTGCAAAATAATCATAAAAATGTTAAAAATAAGCCCTTCGTTTTTCAGATGTGAGACAAATAAAACTTTCTTACCATCTGTGCTATATCTGTCCCTTACAATTACTAATTGTACCAACATCTTAGAAATAAAAACTTAGTTTTTCCTAAGGAAAATAACTTCTTAATGATTCTGAGCTCTAAAACCTGAAAAAACAAATTCAACAGAAATTTATGATCATGTATTTAGCAACAGTGCTGAGAAGACTATTATCCATCTGAGCTTTCTAGTGGGAAAATTATACGGCAAAAAAAATTAAATAAGTTCTATGAAAAGCTGAAAGGAGACATGAAAAAATTGTGTGTGCAAAATGAGCTAAATGTTAATACTATTCAATATTTGTAATATATGAAGTCAACAACCAACATTTGATGTTGGGTTTATATGATGCCAAGGAGGAAAACATGACAAGTTATAAAAAATTGGTTATAAGTTTATTTAAATAGCAGGCAGACATTTAAGTCCTGAACCAAAATAACCAATTTATCAATTTAATATACAAATGTTTTCTGCATGACTTACATTTAATAGTAGACAGATATATCTTTTGAAATTCTCTAACATCTGGAATAATCAAATGGAAAGTCTGCTATATCTTAAGACACACACACACTCACATGCAAACACATACACACACTCACAAACTATAAAAAAAATCCAGAGAACAAGTAAAATACAAGTATTAAAACACATTAGACTAAAAATACAACATAAAATATGATCATTGTACCATAAGGAAAACTAGATTTATTTCCCCTTGCATATGAATCTTCTATTATTAAAGTGACCAATTATCATATACTGGGCAGCTTAAAATGAGACAAATGTATAGTCTGTTTTTCAGGTTAAGACTGAAAGGTCATCTGCAGCTTCTAGATGACATTGATGCTACTTGGTTTATGTTCTCTTCCTCCATCAAAGTCAGTAGTACCAGGCTAGAAGGGTTATTCAGGGGATAGGCAATTGCTTTGTACACATCTGATTTAAGTTTGATTGCCAACACTATACATAGCAATTCCATCACCACCAGGAATGGTCCCTAATCAGAGAATTAGGAGTAATCCTAGAGTACAGCTGAGTGTGGCCCAAAGCAAAAACAAAAACAAAGTATAAGTCATTAAAACCAGGGCTATTCTTCCTTCCTCCCTCCCTCCCTCCCTCCCTCCCTCCCTTCCTCCCTTCCTCCCTCCCTTCCTCCCTTCCTTCCTTCCTTGCTTCCTTCCTTCCTTCCTTCCTTCCTTCCTTCCTTCCTTCCTTCCTTCCTCCCTCTCTCCCCCTCCTTCTGTCTCTCTCTTTCTCTTTCTCTCTTTCTTTCTTTCTTTCTTTCTTTCTTGCTTGCTTGCTTGCTTGCTTGCTTGCTTCATTTCTTTCTTCCTTTCTTTTTTCCTTCCCTATCTTTCATTCCTTTTTTTCTCTATTTTTATCTTTTTTCATGGAAACACTCAGACTTCATCCTCTACCTCTCACTCTTGGAAAGGAAGAAAAGAATGGCCATCAATGGCAAAAGGCAGTTGCAAAAGCAATGTCTAGAACCAGCTTCATGATCAGGAGAGGATACTTTAGCTCTTCCACGTGGTTTCAAGTGCTCTACTGTATCAGAGAAACCTCTCTAGCAACAAACTATAGAACTGATCTCTGAAAGTATAGTCATACCAGGTCTATTCTTCATCATGCTTCCTCTTCATTTCTCTTCATTCTAATTTGGTTGAGGGGAATTTTTACCTTTTAAAGATGTTATATATTGAAACATTTAAATATATTGTCATCAGGATAATGTCATCTCAAGTCTTTGACATTAATTGCATCTGCAAATTCCATTTTTCCATATATAGTAATCAATTCACATGTTTAGATAATCAGGGTATGAAGCATGTTTCAAAGAACACTATTTTTCCTATCACAAGTAACAAATTTCCCAGCCAGTATTCATAAGCAAATTATTGCAAAATAAATTTCCATAGTGAGACAGCAATAAAAACAAGAACTAACATCTGCATCATAAACAATACAAAAACATTGATAATCCCCAGACAGTTAAAGAAGTGAAATAATTATTGGTGGCAAAGATTTCAGACTACCTTTATCTAGACACCATACTTATATACATACACTCACTTGGCTACTTGTAATATATAGACTTTATTCACAATCCTCCTTCCCAAAATTCTAGGTCCCTAAATTCTGAATTTTTATTAGCCTCTATTCTTGTGTTTCAATAACTTCATTTCTCAATCACCTACAATATACTTGGAATAGGCATTAGTAGTTCAATTTGCTAGTATTTTCCTTAACTACTGAATAGAATGAGGTGGAAATGGAATATTGACTGATAAACTCTAAGCACTACTAAAACAAGCTTTCATAGTGATTCTCAGTTGCAAAATTTGTAAATTTATGTTTTCCAGATAGATATGTCTAAAGAAATCAAGCCAACGACAAAAATAAAGACACTTAATATCATAAATCAAGATAAAAAGATATGAAACAGAAGTCATATATGAAGTTATGGTTAATAATTATTTCATGATTTAGCTTAATATATAAAAATCAGAAAACAGTGATATCCTAACAAAGGATTCCATGGTGACAGTATTTCATTATGAGAAATTAAGACTGGCTTAATGTGTATGGAGATATAGTCAGTACTTCTAGGATTTTAGCTTTAAAGAGAAGTCAAGATATCAACACACTGAAATTAATTTTAATTAGGTTAATTTATTAATTTGATATGAATTTATAGCAAGTATTAAGTTATATCTAAATTTTTCCCTTTGCACTTCATTCTTTGTAGAAGATAAAGTTGCTTTCAAATAACTTTTTATTGTTCTCTTTACTGTTTGTAACTAAAATTTCACTTTGCCAAAACACTATTAAAAAATGGGCAGAAGAAATGAATAGACACATTTCTAAAGAAGAGATATGGATGGTCAATAAGCATATGAAAGGGTGCTCATCTTGACATATTATCAAAGAAATTCAAATTAAGATGACAATTATGGCAAAAATCAAAAACTGAAAGCAATCTGTTAGTGGAATGGGAGGATGAAAAGGAACTCTCCTCTACTGCTGGTGGGAATGTAGTCTAGTTAAATCCCTGTGGAAAATAAGTATGGAGTTTTCTCAGAAAAGCAAAAATAGAACTGAAATATTAACAGAAATCCACCTTCTTGGTATCTACATCTAGGAGAAATAAATATTGAAGGGACTGGGGCTGGAGAAATAGCACAGTGGGTAGGGCGTTTGCCTTGCACGCTGCCAACCCAGGTTCGATTCCCAGCATCCCATATGGTCCCCTGAGCAGCGCTAGGAGTGATTCCTGAGTGCATGAACCAGGAGTAACTCCTGTGCATTGCCGGGTGTGACCCCCCCAAAAAAATATTGAAAGGGACAAATACTCACCATTATTCATTTGGGACATTAAATTTCTGTATTTGGGACCCAGAAGATGACTCATGGACTAAAGCCCTTGCCTACAAGCCTTAGACCACCAGTTCAAACCCTGATACTGCTGTCCCTATTGTCTTTTTTTTAATTAATTAATTCATTTATTTATTGAATCACTGTGGGAAAAGTTACAAAGCTTTCAGGTTTAAGTCTGGGTCATGCAATCATCAAACACATTTCCCTTCACCAGTACTTATTTTTCACCACCAAGAACCCCAATATACCCCCCTCCCAATCCTTCCAATCCTGTGAGGCAGATGAATTCTAGTTAACACTCCATCTACTTTGATTAGATTCATTGTTTTGACAAAAGATGCACCATTATTATTTAGAGTTTACATCCCCAAATCAGACCTGCTGAAAAGGCATTGTGAAATAATTTGTTTTCTACAGCTGGTTACAAGAACCAAATGATGTCACGTGGCTGCTATGGCGGGCACGCAATTTTGGATTTCTGATGTTTTACTTATTAAGTTTGAAAGTATTTCTGCTGAGAGTCAGATAATTATAAGATCGGTTCTGTGGCTCTAGAGCCATGGCTGTGGCGGAGAGCTGCTCGTGGGGGGCAACTCGTGACCTTGGTAGGGCGAGAAGGACGAGCCAGAAACGCTCCCCCTTCCCATGAGGTTTTAGTCGCCCTGTCAGGACCAGCTCATACCTGGCTTTCCAAAAAGCTCTGAGGCAGCCGCCATGTTGCTGTCCAGAGGGAAAAAGGCAGAAGTGAGCAATGTCCTATTCCCTCAGGGCAGGCATGGTGGCATGGATTAACGCATAGTCCATTCACTTTTTTGCCGCAAGCTACTGGGCTCTGCATTAAGTCTTTGTGCTTCTGGAGCCATGGCTGTGCCAGAGAGCCGCTTGTGGGGGCAACTCGTGACCTCAATTGATGTCCCTATTTTCTGAGGATACACATTCAGAGATAAAAACATAAAATAAACAGTAACACGTTTCCAAGTTATTTTTTCTATGCCAGTAGTTAAAAAAAAAACACTAATTAATTCAGTCTTTCTGCAGAAACTGTCACAGAGAGATTCTAAACAGAGTGTTAATAAACAAATATCTAGCCTTGTAAAAAGTGTCATGTGCACTCTATATATGTTCATAACAAGTACAGGAAACTGTGAAGAAGGCCACAAGCTTGGGCCTTCAGTCATCCTGTAAATCACTTCTCACTTCATTCTTCAGTTGATTACGTGACCAAAAGGAATGGGATGTAGCAGAATTCATGAATGTATGTAAGTAAAAAAAGACAAACAGTATGGACTAACTATATCAGAGGGGATTGGAAACAAACTTAACGCCATACGTGGAGTAAGCAGCAAATATTAAAATCATAGAGGGGAGAAAATGATAAAAAAAAAAGACAATACACTCAGAAAACATTTTCTGTGCAATGTAACTTTTTAAAATTTGTCAAGCTTTTGCATGTGTTTTATTACAATGGCCATTTGAATGTCAAATTTGTGTGATGTCAAATCTAATAAAAATGAGTTATCTTAGATAATAAAATATTTTGTCTACCAGATAAAAATACATAAATCTTACCTACTTCAGAATACACTGAAAAATTCTAAGTTGATCTTGGAATATTTTTATATATGTAATCAGGATGCATGAAGCCATAGGAATCAGAAAAAGAAAACAGGAATTTTGCTTTTTTTGTTTGTTTGTTTTTGGGTCACACCCAGCGATTGTCAGAGGTTACTCCTGGCTTTGCACTCAGAAATTACACCTGGCATTACTTGGGGGACCATATGAGATGCCAGGGATAGAACCTGGGTCAGCTATGTGCAAGGCAAACGCCCTACCTGCTGCACTATCACTCCACACCGAAACCAGAAATATTGGTTTGCACTTTTTATTTATTTATTTATTTATTATTTTTTACATGTTTAAGAAGGGGCTTTTGAAAATACAGGCACTGGCACTGTCACTGTCACTCCTGTTGTTCATAGATTTGCTCCAGTGGGCACAGTAACATCTCCACTGTGACGCTTGTTACTGTGTTTGGCATATCGAATACGTCACAGGGAGCTTGCCAGGCTTTGCTGTGCAAGGGAGATACTCTCGGTAGTTTGCTGAGCTCTCCGAGAGGGGCAGAGGAATCAAACCTGGGTTGTCCAGGTCAGCCATGTGCAAGGCAAACGCCCTACCCACTGTGCTGTCGCTCCAGCCCACAGGCAAATACAGGCAAAGAGTTATTACTTATATAAGATTACATATTCTGTTTCTCCTCGTATTAACAAACTAATACAAGATAGAAGTGAATTTTTTAAAAACATTCAAGTTAAATATTTCTAATTTATTTAACCAACAGGACTACAAATGTCCATGTGGTCTAATTCTCCAAATAAAAGTACATATGATCACATGAAGAAAATGATTGGCTATGACTAATATTATTCCGCTGAATGTAAAAGGAATATTTTCAAATAAAGTGAAACCAACTGGTCTTGATTTTTTCCTAATATTGCAGTAATTCTCCCAATATTGCAGTGAATTAGCACACATAATGCAAGTAAATTCAGCCAATATACCATTACTGAAATCATTTGAACAAATATAATAGTGTCACATAGCTGCAATGGCATATTTGTGAATTTTATTGACAACTTATAATCTCTAAATCATCATTATAATTTATTAAACTATCTCATATATTGGACTGGTGAGACAGCACAGTGAGTAAGGCACTTTCCTTGCATGTGGCCAACTGGGGTTCAATTTCTCAGCATCCCATATTGTGTCCAGAGCACCACCAAGAGTAATTCCTGAGTGCAGTGCCAGAAGCATCCCCTGAGCACTGATAGGTGTGGCTCCAAAACAAACATAAAATAAATAAATAAACTATCTCATATAAATATAACATAAAGCAAAACTTTACCATTCAGAGAATATGATAAAACATTTGTGATTCAGCTAGTTTTAATCAAAAAATATTCTCAAGTATTAATTTAGTGTTACTTGAAATAAAAATTATAATCTAAGGATGTATTATTCAGTTGGCTAGTACTAACAATATGAGGCAACATGAAATCCAATATTGTGTGTCAAGATTTAACTCAGTAGAACACTTGCTTGTATATTTGAAGTCCCTAACAATGTAAAGAAAAGGAAAGCCCACACATAGCATAAAATCACATACCCTTCAAAATTACAATAAATAAAATGCTTATGTTCAACCAATACTTAAAAATCAAAGCATAA